ATGTGTAAACATCAGCGAGGCGACGTAGGATAAGGTGTGCTTGCATGCGACTGTGAGTTCCTAACAGCAGATTATATGCATTTTGAAAATTGTTCCAACCTCTGAATTTGAACGGAAATGTTTTTCGATTGAACTTGACGGCCGAGACAAGCCACTATTGTCAACTTTGACAAAAATTGCTAAGTACAATTAGTTTAAAAAACCCAACTTTTTTATTATCAACTCAAAGTCTCACTAGCTGGAACTTATGTCTTTTTTATAAATCAAGGGATTCTGTCTTTTGGTAGCAATGTTCAAAATGCATAGAATCTTCAACATCTTTTATTTGGAGATGTTGTAATTTTCTCTTTGTTAGATTAAAATTCTATAAATGTACATCAAAAATTTTGTATTCATTATTTTTTGTAAATAATTTAATGCTGTAAATAATTCATTTTGACAATAATAAACATATATATGTATTCTCTGTTCAGATTTTGCAAAAATGATTTTGTTTTCCCTTAGTACATCTCGAACCCTCCACTTTCTGTTTACTGTTCCGGCGTCTTACCTACTGAGCCACCGTCGCAGCTTGCTTTTCCTCAGTTGTAAAACCCTTTTATCGGAGTTTAAACTTCTCGTTTTGATATTTTTTGCAAAAGGTAATTTGCTGGGACCTAGAAGCGCCAGGTTTTGAACCGGGTGTTGCTGTGTCCGAGTCTCGCGTGCTGTCCACTCCCCTAAGTGTTCCCACCCACCCACCCCCGGTAGACTTTTCTTTTATAGTAACCAACCGGAAATTCAAAAAGGCCTTCTTGAAAAATATCTAGTTATTTCCAAACACCCGACCCAAGAATCGAACCCCAACCCTTAGAATTTTACTAAGCCACTGAAAACACTAAGTCTTTGTGCATAGAATTGTAATTTTTTATTAAGAGAAAAATAAACTGACAATGATGTATCTACATATTTTCAAACATCTACTTGTTAAAATAGAAATTTTAAATAAGTCAATCACTACAATTTTTGAATATTAATATATGTTAGATAAAAATATTGATATCTGCATTAGCACTCGCTCAAGTTTGATTTGATAAATAAACTATCAAATGAACTAACTGACTGAGAGTTTATCTTATGATAATATGTAACAAATTATTTCAGAAAAAAAGGACAATCACATTCTTTTATTCCATTTTAAACAAAACCAACGGCAGATCTATTATCCGTGTCACCCTTAATAACCCCAGGAAATATCGTGAATAAAAATTTCTCTGATATATCATATAATTTCAAAAGACATAAAAATATTACAAATTGCCAAGAATTTAAAAATATTACACCCTCTTAAAATATGTATCTGCCATCGATTTTGTTTCCTTTTAACCGTAAGGTGCTGCAATTTTTTCATGATTTGGCTATTTCTACTTTAAACGTGACATAAAAGTGCCAGACAGTTATTGCTTGGAAAGAAAAAATACGCTTTTACTATGTCTTGTCAAAAATTGTCACTAGCCGTTTGTGAAATAATTCCCAACATCTAACATCAACTAATGCGTTCAATTACATCACAAAATCTACATTTCAAAGGAGAATGAGAAAAAATAATCACCGACGGATATTGATTATAGAGATAAAATTGTGCTGTTCTATGATTATCAAACATTGGTAAATTGAAGGGAAAAGTCATGATACAACTACATCACTTTGCATTTATTTTAAAGTCCAAAAATATTATAACAAATGGTTTGTAGCTTTCTGAACACGAATTATGCTCTCACATGAGGATATAAACATTTCTGCGTATAATGTAGATGCTGCCGAGATAAAATAGCAAAAAATAGCAGAGTTTTGAAAATGGGAAAACTATGGATCCCATGATTTTTCCCTCCATCTTCACTCATAAATTAGATATGCCCCACAAGTAAATGTCGCAAATGCAAGAAAAATGGGTATGATTCTGTTTACAATCCAAATGAGCAAAGTTGAATAAATATTAAAAAATCGCAAAACCTATCCATGTTCCTTTTACGCACGATTTAAAAGGTAAACTTGTATTGGCCGAATCAGTTTAAAACTTCATGAAAATTTCGAAAAATCGAGTCTAAAATGTGCCAACTCTCTATACTACATTTATATAAAAAAGGTTAATTGCGGTCCGTAAAAATGACACCTTTCACTCAGCAAGACAGCAAGTTTACAGGCTTCAAAAGATTGTACAGATACGCGTTTTAGGTGACTAGATTTTCAGTCACCTTCGCTGTGGACATCAAGACTAATGAATTTTACTGTTGGTGATATAACTTGAAAAATTTGGAAACCAACACAGACCGTAGTTTTCGTAACGAATTTTGTACAAAGTACAGGGGCGGATTCAGAGTTATTTCCTGACAGTCTTCCAAATTATCTTTGTTGATCCGTTCTTCATTTTTGACCGTCTTCCGACAGAAAAAATTAGATACCCGCCAATGTAAACTTGAAAATCTGACCGTCTTCCGGAAGACCCAGAAGACGCCCTAAATCCGCCCCTGAAGTATGCATAGAGAGAAAATTTCTGAATTTTTTCTTTTTTTTTTTTTTTGTTATATAAAGGTGTTACCGTCAATGTGTGCATTAAAATTAAGATTTCTAGGTTCTGGATAACGAGAAAAATGCTTTTAAAAACAAAAATCAATATTAGAAAAAAATTACTAGTTTGATGTTTTTTTTCCAAGGAGTTTTTAGCCAGGTACAGGAATTGTTTGAATTAATTATTCATTATTCGTAAGATCAATAGATTGAGGCTACATCTATATCAGTAGAGTGTTTTTTCTTCAAAACATCATAATGTGAAAAAGTAACTTCTATCGAGTAAATACGCGAACGAAGTTTTCAGTGTCACTATTTTTGGATAAACAGTTGCAGATTCAGAATATTATTTCTAGATGCTCATTTTTGTATTATAAATTGAGCGCGTTTTTCCCCCGAACTAGAAACACGGATTTATCGGGTTTTTTAAATCTTTTTTGAACGTTTTATTAGCATTTAATAAAAATAAAGTCACCACTTGCTGCCTTGCTGAGAAAATACCGCAATTAGATTTACAAACGTCACGGAGGCAAAGCCGGACTCACAATTATAGTAAAAAAAAAAAAAAACCCGTTTAAAGGCATAAGGGGCGGTTATTCTTTTAACAAGTTTTGAATATGCTGTTTTTCAAATCTTTGATTTATTTTTATAAAGACAATTTTGAAAGAAAGAATTATGAAAAACCCCTTTAGACTTAGCATATTAATCACACAACGCGATATTGACATAAGTTGTATATATCAGATATATCAAAAGTACGTCCCAAGCATTATTATTGCAAATTAGCACAAGCAATTCGCCCCCTATGCCTTGAACTAGGTCACCTACATCAATGGATCACAATGCTACATATTATGATGTTATTTGTGAAATAATGTCAAAATTAGAAATGGGAGTATATCACTAAACCTTTTCCTATTCTTTACTTTCGAATGTGACGATTTTGCTGTATTATTATCATGACACGTAATTTTACTAACAACCACTGATTAAATTTCAACAGGTAAAAATTTAAAAGTGCCATTCCTCAGAATTTTCCCCACGTTGACTATTTCGCATGTAAAGCTTTACTAGCGCTACAAATTCAACTGGTGTAAATGAAGAGCAACTCCAATTTTCACTTTTACATGTGCTACGTGATAAAATGAAGAAAACATGGAGGACAGTAAACGCCACGTGGGGAAAATACTGAGGGACGGTAAAACCTAGTTATAAACAGGCAGGAGTCAAGTCGTTTTTAAAAATGAATCAAAGATAAGTTTACAACAAATACCTAAAATCAATGTCTTAGAACTTTACGCTGAATCGGTTAAAATCGAAACATCCATATGCTTGGTATCCTGACTGCCTCATGTCCACTCCCTGGCCACTCAAAACTAAAGAAGTGACATCTCTTTCAAGGGTCCAGATTAAACATGATCCAAGGGGGTAGTAGGAAGGTTGAGCGAGGTGACCTCCCTTTAATTTTTACCATTTACCATTACCATTATTTGACAGACAAATTTTGATTAACAATCTATTAAAATGGCAATGCACAGGAAGCTCTTTGTGTAGTGCATATATCAAAATACACTAGATTAAAATAAGTCTCGGACCCTTACACACCCCAAGGTAAAATGGCATTATGTAGGTCACTGACTATCCTTGTATATTCTACCGCATGCTGCAATCTGAGCAGTTTTTACACCGTTGACATGCCAGACCGTACAATAGCGCCATCTGGAGGGGAACAGAAATGATCTTCTCTGCTGCAATCGGTAGTTTAGCTGATTGTTTTAGTGTGCGTGTGTGTGTTTGTGTGTGTGTGTGCGCGCATACCTGTGTGCTTAATCTTCAGCGCCGCAGAAATGACTGTAGCATGCAACTGGCATATATACAAACTTACATATATACGAATAAATAAAAGCCATTTATGAGAATAACTACACGCGTATCATCTCTGGTCCCGGTTAGCTGTCATTTTGATCTATTAATTGCATGAATCCAATATCCATGCAAAACGACCTTAAGAACGTCACCAGTCTACAATTATTTTTAAAAAAGTGATGACAAAATATGTAAATTTATTATAAAATTTTAATTGAAGCGATGAAATATTAACATGTAAACTATCCCAATTGGTCAAGTATTTTAACCGAACTGAAAAGAAAAAAACATGCATTCTCAGTATTGATATATTTTCATCATGGCAACTTCAAAAATTGAAACAAAACTCTCCCGCTAGGCTATGCGATATATAGCGACAACGCTCGTGTGACGCTTTTACGGTAACTAACATGTATAAAGCGATGGGAGCACTTGTTTTTTGGGGCGGAATTAACCCTTTGAAAGGTCCTTTCCTATTTCAAGAAGATTGTAACTTATGGGGCAACTGTGATTTGATTTCTAAGCATAGCATATGCGGCTCAACACATTGTTTTAACATGTTCATAACAGAAAAGAAAACAATTGCATAAACGAATTTTTGATTTATTAGAGGTATAAATATATCTTGTCAATTTTCACTTCGATGCAAAAATAACAAAAATTAAACTCATTTGAAGAAATCCACATTGCGGTTTAAAGAGACTATAAATGTAAATTACCACATTTTTAAGTGCTAATTATTAAATTAAATCTACCAGTATATATAAAAAGACAAATAAAATTACTAAGTAGCTGACTCACCTACCATATTGCTAAGTGGTATATAGCAATGAACACAAGAACGGTTAATCTTCTTCAATTAAAAACACATAACAAAATCCCACCATTAACAAAACATACCACAACAAAAAGAACGTGATGCCCGTATTTTGAAAAACCCGTAGAAAATTATCCACCAAAACTACGTCCCCATTGCAAAATGCTAATAGTATCTATATGCAGAAACAGTTTCGAAATTAGAAATTTTCCGAAAAGGTTTCAAATAAAATGCTGTAAATACCGTATCCCAAGTTATTGTAAATATGTGTTTGAAAGCACTCACAACCGGATCAAATATGGTTAACCCATTTGAAAGCTTGCGTGAATAATCCCCGCGGGGAATCTATCCAGTGTGTTGGCCGATAATGCGGCAAACTTTCAAGTTGGTCAGACGTGTTCGATCCGTGGACTAGTTAGTCCGCGAATCAACTGGTTGTGAATGCTCTCTATGACACTTTTCCATTGTTCCTACCCACGGCCAGGTCCAATGTCCAATTTTCTTGAAAACATCCCCTACATCTAAATTTACCTAAAAACGCGTGTAAATTAATCGTCGACCAAAATTTCCTACGTATAACCCTTGGCAGGAATACCGGAATGTTTAGAAGTATTATTCAAATACTGATATCACACAAAGAAGAGAATGCATCTTTATAAACAGAATATTAGCAGTTTTCTATTTCCAGTAGCCTGACCCATGCTTTTGGTACCATTGAATCGTCTGTTTCAAACCTTCTTCCCAGCTTGTCTTGGGTTTCCACCCCAGTAGATGGAGCTTTGACGAGTCGATGACGTAGCGGATGTCGTTATACGGACGGTCTTTCACGTGCTCAATATTCAGCGGTTTTCCCAAAAGTCCATGCAGCTTTTTGGCTATGGCCATCACGGAATGCTCGTTGTTCACGCCAATGTTGTAGATATTGCCCACCGTTCCCTTGTGTAGGAGCAGATCAAACGCTTCAACGGCATCATTCACGTAGAGGAAGTTTCGTTCGTTTTGGCCATGGCCATAAATTGGACAAACTTTGTCTTCAATAATGCTAAGTAGGAAAACTGGAATGACCTGAAATAATGAAATGTCGAAAATGCGACTCATCGCATGCAAAGAACACAAAGGGCATTCTATCTCAATACATAGGTGGGGTCTTAACGTTACGCCTACTTTATACAATTTTTATCTCTCTCATATATAACGCATAACCACAGGCGATGCAAGCCAGTTTCCTCCTTCTCACTGTTTTACGTCAAAGAAAAACACACCCAGAATAAGTAAGTCCACATTTTGCGTGCAAGAACCATTTATCGTTAAGAAAGGGTTTTCGTTCTAGGAGACTTTGAATTACCAGTGTCTCGCTTTTCATTAATCAAATATCTTTCTTTAGTCTATAGTTACCTGTTGCAATTGCTTTTTTTAAATATTAATACGTATTCTGATTTTTTTCTTTAATTTCGTTATAACCGTTTATCGAATATCTGATTACTTTTTTTATTTATCTGAATCAGCCTACCTTCTCCGGGTACTGACACGGCCCGTACACGTTGTTGCTGCGTGTGATGATGACGGGGACATGGAAGGAGTGATGGTAAGACTGGACCAACATCTCAGCCGCCGCCTTGGACGCCGAGTACGGGTTGGTCGGGGTAAGGGTGGCGGTTTCCTTGCGCGGAATCCCGTCTAAGGCTTCGCCATAGACCTGCCACGAGGAGAAAAAAAA